TGCGCAGCTGCATAAGGAAATACGTGCCAACGGTCACGATATGAACAACTGGAAGTCGAAATGGATGTCTCACGAGCACCGTCCCGCGGATACCATCTTCACTGACGGAGAAGAAGAAGACCCTAGCTACATATACACTGGCTGATTACCATCGGCGAGATCAGCAGAGAAAGAAGGTCTCATGAAGTTTCAATCACATAAAAACATCGCTGTTTGATAAAGAACTGCCCATGCTCACGAAGAAAGGCCCGTTCGACTACGCCATTCTACCCGTCATGATTTATGGTGCGAAGTGCTGGTATACCACCAATGCTATGGAAACGAAACTAATAGTAGGGCAAAGGGCTATGTAAACGACAATGTGGAGGATGCATCTTCGACATCGTGTTACAAGTGTAGAGAGTTCGGTGTCGACATGATTTTTGAATGTACTTAACGTCGCCTACAACTTTAAGAGACAATGGGCTGGGGGCGTGACTCGTCTGAAGGACAACAGGTATACATCTACCTCAGCAACAGATGTCCACTCGGTCGTCTGCTAACACTGTGGGACGACTAAATGACGAAGCTATTTCGTCAACGATGAAAGCAACAGTACAACGCCGAGTATAGTGGCGGAACTTCGATCTGCGTCTATGACGCGACCGTTGACGAAAATAAATCGGGCAGAAGACTGATAATTTCTTTCTAAAGATCGATTTTCTGATTAAGCATAGCATTACTAGTTGCAGTGCCAATACATGCCTGAAGGTAAGTGTCTTCATCTAAAGCTGAAGCCAATCGCTATCTGCGCTTAATCCCAAAAAAATACAACTGGATTTTTTGGATGAAACATATGGCAGAGCAAATGGCATCAAGAGTGACTTGACTATATACCAGCAAATATCATGACATACTTTAATACCTGCCTAATCTATGTTAATTGTATATTGTGTAATATACCACTGAACATAAAACAGTACAGAATATACGTATAATACATAATATACGTACGCATAGTACATGCTACCATTTAACGTACTGTGCTCTATTGTGCAGTATTAGATATTTTTATATGACGAGGCAAAGCTCTAAACTCTGCTTTGTGGAAGAGTAGAAACGTAATGAGAAAAAAATAGTGCATACGGCAACCGCGATTTTCCCGATGATGCGTTCAGGCAGGCGTTGATGAGACTTTTCGTACACTGTCTTGTAGAATCGTTCGAGTGAAATATCCATCAGCTCCATGCAGATCCAACAATCACCCTGCAATCGAGCACGTTTGATCAAACAACAGGAGAGCAACAACGGTACGAAATAATTAATGTGCTAACAAAAAACAATGTAACATAATATAAAAGTATGTGTAAAACAGGCGGTTACAAGAAACCAATGCTGCCAACTCACCTCTTTGAAGATAGCTCCGTAAAACTGAACGATGTATGGACATTCGTCAGATCGCATGATCACGTCCAAGTCCATCAGTAGTTGCTTTTGTTCTTTGGAGTCGACGGTGCACCGCATTCTCTAAAACAGCTCCTCAGATCTTCGCATCAGACGAACGCACAACGCATGATCAAATTATGATTAAACACAAATCATTTGCTGTAGGAAACCACGGCGGTGCCTATAGCATAGAATAAAGGAAGTAACAGAAGATAAGCTAATATTTAACAAATCAGAAATTAAACAGTGCTTAAGCAGCGGAAGGCAAACAAAATAAAAACATAAGAATATGACAAAGCTCGAACTAAGATTCAACCTCAGCTGCTACACTGCAGACGGCTGAAAGGTCGCTGATGCCCAAAATCAGTGTTATTCGAACAGGATAACACGGCATATGTTCTCCCGGTCCACGGCATATGTTCTCCCACATTTACAGCAAAGACCTTAGTTTGAACCAGCAGCTCTCCTTTTCTACACCTACAGAATTTTTCAACAATAAGCGTTGATACAATCATAAATATCAGAAGCTGTTAGCATGACAGAATGTGTCAAATAACGTATGACTCCTGCAAGTCCAGATATCACTGCGCATTTTACCGACCCTCGCAGCAAGTAGGCTATGGAGGATGATGAAAGCAGGTCACAGTTCCATCGCATTTGACAATCACCAGTGCCAAGCGCATCTGGCATCATTTTGTCCTTTAAAGCCGTCCCACGCTGATGAAGAACGATGTTTCAGGAGCTGGTACTTTTCATATGCTACAGAATAAGCATCATAAGTTGCTCATGATGCGAGATGCATCGGGTCACTGCTGGTGCTCAAATAATATGGAGCCATGACCTGCTTAAACGCTCCCCCGGGCAAATAGTCGCAAGGAGCGGTGCAATACGCCATTAAACCTGGTATATAAGGAGTCATTCGTCATATAATTCAGTCGTGGGGAGTGTCTTAACCCCTCTAAGTAAACTACCATTAAATCCGACCTTATTTGACAGACTCCTCAAAGCCCAAGTCCTTGGCATCGTTACTAACATAAGACCGCATAGAAAACACCAAAAGTGAAGCCTACCTTTACAGCCATAACTTTGCCTGATTTTTTGTGCATCATCTTATTGACGGTCCCAAAACTTCCTTGGCCGATCTGGCCTTGGTCTTCCAGATCATCGGCTGTGAACTCGAAACTAACTTCGGGACTGATTTTCAACCGGCCAGATGACCTAGAGCGTATCATATCCCTGAAAGAGTAGCAGTCCTTAATTATATTATGCAATAAAGTCTCGAAGTAAACTGGCTTAATTAATTACGATTAGCTTACGTCAGAAAAAGCCGCGAAAGCTTCACGGTCAGTATAAAAGGAAAGGTTCTAGAACCAAATGTTACTTCTTGCAAGAAATCGAAACAACCAACTTCGGCAAGGACAACGTTCTCTTTCGGAAAAACTACATTAAATTTATAGCTTTAGGGAGCGACCGATAGTTTACCAATGCGCGACGGTGACCCCTTCCTTCAACTCAAAGAGAAAGACTCGAAGAGGAAACCATCAATACTAATATTAGAAGACAGCAAGACAAAGACTTATGCAACCTCATGATCGGGTAACAGAACTGGATGGGACAACTTCGCAAGGAAAATCAAATATAACAACCTGTACCATCTGGGTCCATTAGTTTATGCTTCTAAACTACAAGAGACTTCTGTCTTTTTTAATATCTGCCCTTTTCAATCGGTAGCAGTGAGTGAGTAGTATAACGGCATGGCAGAAAGTATTAAAGTACACGGTCATTGTACGGAATCAATGGGCGAAGACTATCGAATTTCGCCCTATATCTTTCCAGTGCTGAAAGGGGAAAAACTCGGTTTCTCGGTGGAGTAGCAGCAGTTTCACTGTATTTGTGGCTCAACTATTCAACTACCTGCTTAACCGTTGTTTCCTTGCTACGCTTGAAAAAGAGGAGAAAAAAGTTTCAGGCTGCAAAAATCATCATACTGAAAAGCTTTTTGGCTTACACATCGCTCCCAGTCTGATGCAGAAGTCGAAATATTATTCAGAGAATCATCTACATAATTCAAGGGGCATCTTTACGGTCCTACGGGACACCTAAAAACGTTCTATGACTTACCAGTGACCGACATGTCCCCTGCCCAGCTGATTTCAACGTTTTTGTTGGCAGCGCCGAGAAATATGCCTGCTTTTTCAAGGCTTAACAACAGTACAGCAAAAATGTTCGTCGAAGCACCTGCCACTGTTAACCCGGTCCTGTGACAACCAAATTTACAACGTACCATTTGTTGCGCATGTGGAATCACTATTCTACGGCTAGAATACCGTCTCATCGAATTATTGAATCCAGACAATCCTTCATCCATAGGACTTCGGTATCGGTACTCTCAACTCAATGAACGACCACATATTTCATCCATTCACTGATTCGTCTTCATATCTACGGACCATTTTCGAAGTGCACAGGCAACCAGTTCAAGATGCTTGCACGAAGACCTCTCTACTCCATTAACTAAACAAACCCTACTTACCCGAAAGTTACCTTTGCCATTTGCTCGACAGTCAGTTCTACGTGGCTTTCCAATGAGAGTTCGAGTGTCCAGTCTCTCTGTTCAACCTGACCATCACAAATTAGACTCCATGATTAGGAGCAAATCCACGATTCACAAACAAGAATCTCCTAGACGATATTTTATATGGCATTTACGAAGGGACTTCGAAGAAACGTCATCTCTGAATTCGAAAAAAACAAGCCGGCTTTAGTACTGGCTGTTTGTTCCTATCTGCTTCATAAATGTGATGAAAGCGATCAACGCTGTTAGACTGGTAGCGTGAGTCCAAACAAGTCGGCTACTTAAAAACTTGGTGTGGGCGGATCGTTTCTCAAAATCTTTGAAACACAAAAAATATTTCAGAAATATTCCGTCATTTTCAGAAAGCAGTATATTGAATAATGAATTTTAAAAAACACGTAAAACGTAATTTTTTCATCAAAAAGTGACATTATGTTAATAAACGCCACACTGGAAAATGACATCAGAGAAAACAAAAACGTAGTAATAGTAAAATTATCAATAATATTTGCCAACGTCTTACAGCTGTGGGGATGTATTCACAGCTGGCCATGTAAAGCCACCTCTGTCGGCCAGGTTCGTTCGATATTGCAATTTCTTGTCGCATGGCTTAGTGAAGTCCAAGCTTCGCAGCTGCGGCCGTTGTGTCATTTAAAACCATACGAACCACTAAAGAGACACAAACTCATTACATCCAATAGTAACAGCTAAATCAGTAAACATGGATTAAAGAGCGAATTAAAAACGAACGGCTTTGCCACCGGTCTCGACGTTCCCTGCAAAGAACGTTTGTATCAATACGCGCAAGATAGCGCTGTTACACGGGCTTTAAATGATTTAGACTCGCATTTTCTTAACGGACAAGTGTGACCCTCGTTTGGTCACCTGTCTGATGGGACGGTGGCAAAACCGAGTCCCCGACACGTCAAACATACGCGCAACGAATTTTTCGTAGAAAGGACTAACCAATCATCAATATCAGCCGTTGATACATCGTACTCATATCCGTTTGCACTTCTCAAAAATTTTCCAACGCGTCTAGATCGTTACATATGAATCCTTCCTAGCTGTTCTATTACAAATGAAATGGAAACGACCCTGTCGCCTCTAAAGGCTACTACAGTAAACATGATGATTTTCAGGTTCTTTCTGAAAATCCAGCAAGTACAGCAATTTGTGCAAGTAACGTCCCTCTAGAAGGGCTTCAGGTTTATTTGAAAGATCAATTTTTTGATTAAAATGAGATACTGCTGTGTTAGGAAAAACGAAAAATCACATCATCGCTGCAACCATGACACAGTATCACTGTAAAAACAAATCTAAAAATAAACAAATATAAACATTCATCGCTTGTAAAGTTGTTGCACTACATCCCGCAGTGTACTCGCTGAAATTGAGATAATTAATCTTCTGTAGAGTTCCGTCTGAAATGAAATATTGCAAACAGAGATCTGATGGACGTGCTGAAGAACACGCACTGCCAAAGATAACTGGGACTAGGTTGTGTTGTACAGAATTATGTTTTTCAAATCGAACGCCTTGATAAACAGCTGATTCAGCGACATGCTGTATCTCGGTACGTAAAGCCACTACGCGAAGCTTTATGGATTGTCTTATGGCTATAAATTTGGGCGCACTGGTAGCTGAAAAATGATAGCTGCAGCGTAACTGTAATAGGACACTTATAAGGACCGATTTTAATCGCCTTTCATGGAGCATGCAATCCTCTCCGCCTCTTGGTGTAGGACGTTGCTTTGCAAAAGCGACTTGCAAATGACTATTAAAACTCTTGCAATGTTAAGCAGAAAACAAGAATCTCCTAGTGCTGTACTTGGAACACTGAGGGAATCGATGTCGTAGTGTATCATTAGGTTGTCCGTCAACTGGCGCTCTGCGTAACAAGGATCCATTCTTCAGTCTTTCTCTGACTGAGGAAGCGAAAAATGACGTATAAAAAACACCATTTTCATAATTATCTTCAGTATACTGGCAACCATAATCAGTTCGCAATTTCAATGTCATCAGTATACTTCACAAATTTTAGGTGCCCTTTAAGGACAAGCGATACGTGAAAAGCGATGTATAAGAGTGGAGTACAGAGCCTTGCATTATACCCAGATTATTCAACGGGAATTTAGGTTTCTTTCGACTGATTCTCACTGCCAACGATGAAAAAAATCGATCGCTAGGCGATGGAAGATAGGCGATTTACCGAATCGGACCAAAAAGTTCAAAGGCAAACGAAAAAAAAAATCAACAAAGGTTTCCCTTTTTTTCTTTCAATAAGATCATCAGAGGATCCTACTTATATCATTATGAAACATATGA